TTTTTATACTCGTTTCATTTTTTATCTATATAATATTAGAGCATAAGTTTTTGTTTATATTAAAATAAATACAATTGGTTAATTTGTATTAAACTTTACTGTATAAGCTACTTACAATGTTATTTCCTATGTACTTTATTTTATTTTTATATAATTTGTTTTCTATTTCTTATGTACTTGTAATGCTAGTCTTTTTTATGATGTGTCTTGCACGTTGATTATGCTCGTTATATATTTATACTATTTTAATTTGTTTTATCTATATAATATTAAAGCATAAATTTTGTTTAAATTAAAATAAATACAATTGCTTAATTTGTATTGGACTTTATCGTACAACAATTTATAACGCTGCTTTTTATGTAATTAATTTTATTTTATTTATAATGAAGTAGTTTCAAAATAAAATTCAACCCAATCTCTAGACCTAATCCTTCAGTTCCTAATTTAAAAATGCATATTCTTAAAATCTTAATAAGTGCCCCAAAAAAAAAAAAAATCAAGTCATAACTTAATCTCCAACCTTCTGTCCTCAACCCCAAACCTTAATAATGGTAATTACTTTGGCTATAGTGACCGTATTACTTACCCAACCTATTAGATAAAGGAATATGTGCACATACACACAAATTCTTGAAACCCCATAAAGTGATCTAAAATAGAAATATGTAGTTATAGTTTTTTTTAGTTTTATAAACACCATTTTCTTTCAAGTCAAATAGATTTAAAATATAATAGAAAACATATTAAGAAAATTAAAAATATTTAATCATCAAGAGGCTATCTATTTATTGCAATGAAGATATAAATCTCTTGCTAAATTAAAGTGATAGTAGTTACAAATTAATTCAGTAATGAAAAAGAAAATAAAAAATAAGTTTTATAAACAAACCATTTGTCTTTCAAAGTCCAAATAGATTTAAAAATACTAAATAAGAAAACATATTAAGAAAATTAAAAAATATTTAATCAATCAAGAGGACTTATCGTATGTTATTGGCGAATGAGATATAAATCTCATTGCATAATAAAGTGATAGTGGAGTTACAAATTTAATTCCAGTAAATTTGAACAAGAGAAAAATAAAAGAAAGTAAAAAATAAAAGAAAATTATTATTAAGAATATGAACTCTTTCGAAACTTGCAATATAATAATAAAGAAACAAGATTATATGTAAAAAAATTACCTAATTTGAATTTTAAAAAAAATAAACCCTTTTTTAACTGGAAAATGCTGTAATTGTTAATAAAGTTTGGATGTTGATGACCAAAAAAAAAAAAAAAAAAAAACCAGACTTATAGCATTCAATAAAATGAAAAATTAGCAAAAGCAAAGTAATGCTTAGTGATGCTATTTTGTTTCTCTATTTTAATTTTGTTTCTCTATTTTTCTAAGTTGCAAATTTAAAATAAATAAATAAATAAGTTAATTAATTAATAAAAAGATTATATAAAAGATACGTTCTATTCTCGCCAAATAAACCATCAATTTTCCCTACAACTACACAGAAAAAGAAGAGTATATTTTTTTCTTTTTTATTATTTATATGTATTTATTTAAAAAATAATTTTTAGAAGTTATATCCGATCAAATAATAAAATGTAATTTTTCTTTTTTTTTTGTCCTAACCACAGGTCTCTCGAGTCCACTGGGCTAAAACTAAATTCTGTTCACCGGATCAGTCCAAGAAGAGATAAAGTGCTCACAGCGAGTATTTATTTCATCAATGAGGATCGAACCCTCGACTCACTTAAGAGAGAAGAGTACCGAACTACTCATCCAAATACTCTTTGGTATAAAATGTAATTTTCGAATTTACTACGACTAAGGCTATTCTAGGATATCAGAAATCTCATTATTCCCCCTATATTCCCATATTTATATATAGTACTAGTATTTTGTATGACGTGCGTTGCACGTTGACTATACTCATTATATACTCATTTTTTATTTATATAATATTAAATAATAAGTTTTGTTTAGATTAAAATAAATATAAGTAGTTAATTTATATTATACTTTGTTATACAAACTACTTGCAATGCTATTCATTATGTACTTAATTTTATTTTTATATAATAAAGTGATCTTAGAATAAAGTTCAGCTCAATCATTAGACTTAATTCTTTAGTCTATAATTTATAAATGTAAATTTTTAAAACCCTAATAGGTGCTCAAAAAGAAAATTAAGTCATTATTCAATCTCCAACCCCCTGCCCTTAACCTTAAATCAAAATCTATATACAATTATAATGAAGAATAATAATAAATTATTTTTCCTGCTAGGTTAAAAGAAAATAAATGAGAAAATGATCTGAATTGATAATGAAAATCACATTGACTACAGTGACAATTTTACTTACCCAATGTATCAGAAAAAGGAACATACGCACATGCATACAAATTCTTGAAACCCAAAAAGTTATCCAAATAGAAATATATAGTTCTAATTTTTTTTTTTTTTTTTTAATATATAGTTTCTAATTTTTTTTTTTTTTTTCCCCAGTTTTCTTAAAAACACTATTTTCTTTTAAAGTTCAACAGATTCAAGAATATAGAGAAAAAATTAAAAATGCTTAATCAATCAATAAGACATCTATTTTCGCAAGGGAAGATTTATATCTGCTTACTAAATTTAAATGATAGTAGTTACAAAAATATTCAGTTTAACGAAAAAGAAAATAAAAAATTATATTAAGAATAAAACTATTTCAAAACTCATCTAATAGAAAGACATTTCATTATATATAAATATAGTAAATATATCAATCAAATATTTATTTTTTATTAATTTTTAACAGTTTAATATATAGATTTATATTAGCCCTTAAATTTATAATTTAAAATTTTATTTTAAAAAATATCCAATCAAATATGACAACATTAAGACAAAAATATTAATAAAAATAATATACTTTTTTCCTTCTTTTTTCTATCCCTCTCCTTAAATAACAATATTTATATATATTCTATTTGAAAATTTATATTTTTAATAATATCTCAATTTCATTGCATACAATGGTAAATTCATAGGAGGTTTCCTCGATCTATTCATAGGGGTTTCCTCGATCTATTCTTCCATGAATTACTGAAAACAAAAAGAAATTCATCTCAAGATCTAATAAATCAAATAATTCAAAAAAACTGCTCAATTTATTAGTTTAACGAATTTTTGACTCTCGAATATCCAACCGCGAAAATTGAACTGTTAATGAAAAGAGAGAATAGGACAAAAATAATTAGGGAGTCGAACGAGCCTTTTTTGGGGATAGAGGGACTTGAACCCTCACAATTTTTAAAGTCGACGGGGCACTGTCTCAGAAAGAGGCTCGGTGAAATAGACATATCTGTGAAGATGCGGACTACCTGCACTGGACAGAAAGACCCTATGAAGCTTCACTGCCCTGGATTGGGCTTTTGGGCCTTTCCTGCACAACTTTAGGTGGAAAGGGACGAAGAAGGCCCCCTTTCCGGGGGAGTCTGAGCCATCAGTAGATACTACTCTAAGAAGAGCTTAGGAAAAACAAAGTATATTTTCTTTCTTTATTTAATCTATATCCTAAAAAAATTAAAATTTAATAAATAAAATATTAAAAAATTTTATATAAAAAATTTTCAAATGTCTCGTTATCGTTTATATTCATTAAAAATAAATTTATTAAATATAAAACTTAAAATTTTGAAATGTTTAATTATATATGTATAAGTACTTTTTTTAAAAACTATTTTTTTTTATTTATTAGGAGGTTTGATGAGCCGAAATAATATTGTGAGCTACACAATAATCATATTGGTAACTCACCTAACAAAAATAACATTTCAATGTATATAAATATATAAACAAATCAATAAAATATTATTTTTTAAATTAAAATTTTCAATTGTTTACCGTCACATATTTAATTATGTAAATTCTATTTGAAAATTTACTTTTTAAAAAATATATCCAATGAAATCTTACAAACATAAAGAATAAAAAATATTAATAAAAGTGATATACTTTGTTTCTTCTTTTTTTATCTCTCTCATAAAATAAATTATTATATATACTCTATTGAAAAATTTATTCTTTTTCAAACAAATCCAATCATATCATATAAACATAGAGAAAAAAATTTTATATATTTTCTAAAAGAACTAAATATTTAATAAATAAAATATAAAAAAAATTTCAAACTCATTATTATAATATTCATTAAAAAATAAATTTAGTAAAGATAAAACTTTAAATTTTGAAATGCTTAATTATTTATATTATTTATTTAAAAAATATATATATTTTACTCATTAGGGAGGTCGATCAGCCGAAATAACATTGTGGGCTATATAATAATTAAATGCTTAATTATTTATATGTATTTATTTAAAAAATATATATATTTTTACTCATTAGGAGGTCTGATCAGCCGAAATAACATTGTGGGCTATATAATAATTAAATTGGTAAATACTTGTGGTCGAGAGAACTCGAACTCGAAATTAGGAGGTCTAATGAGTCGAAATAACACTGTGGGCTACATAATAATTAAATTGATGAATACTTATGGTCGAGAAAACTCGAACTCGAAACCTCTCCCTCTTCACATAAGTGAGAAGACAATCAGACTACAAATGATTGAATTAAAAAATAATTTATAAATTATATCCAATTAATTAATAAATTATAATTTTTTAATTGATTATCATTAAGAGTATTTTAGAATATTTTAAATTTTCTTAAAGGTGATATAGAAAATTCTATTATTTGCCTCTGTTTTTATATTTATATATGGTATAGATAGATAGATAGATATGAATTTCAAACCGAAACCGAAAAAATCTAAAAAATGGAATTAGATAATTTCTGTTGGATTTTTCAGTTCTAAAACGAACTTTGCTTACACCAGTTTACGCCCATTTATAGTGCAATTGGCTCGTTAGGCTTAAAACGACTAATGATTAAACGACGAAGCGTTTAAATACGACAACATACAAGCTCTTTCTATTTCTCAAGCTATACCACAAGCAAGGAAACATAGAGATAGAGATGAGATTTGAGAAAAGATTGGTGTTTATTGGTGTTTCTGATATCAAGAACAGAGCGCCATTTATAATTCAATCTCAATTTTCACGTTCTTTTTGCCAGCTTCAAACAAAGCAGAAGCACCACCAAAACAATGGGTTCGTTTGATTTGATTCCTTCCAATTCAGTTTTTTTTCCCCTTCATTTTAAATTTCTTTTGCAATTGAGAGGAGATTGGAATTGGAATTTTCGGTTGTTTCAGTTCTTCTTCTTTCGGAATTGCGTTCGACATTGATGGTGTTATTATTCGTGGTCGTGCCCCCATTGCTGGCTCTTCTCAAGCTTTGAGGAGATTGTACGGAGATGCTGGTATTTTATATTCTTCCCTCCTTTGTCTCTTTAAAACTCACAGAATGCTATGATTGTGCAGATTTTATAGGAAATTAGAAGTGTAATATGCAATTCTGTGATTTTAGATTGTACTTTGATTTCAAATTTGAAGGTAAACTATAAAAGAAGCAAAACTGAATTGAATAATTGAAATAGGTATACGCGGTGCATTGTAGTGATGCTTGTAAAAGGGGGAAATAAGTAGCAATGGAGTGTTTATTATATGAACAAAAGTGATTCACTGATTTGCCAAGTGAACTAAACGAAAGTTAAATTTGCTGTTTAATGTCATAGACAAAAGGATGCATTAAACTAAACTTTTGAAAGTATTTGTGTATTTTGGTTTCTTCTGTAAAAATGTTTTGGAACCTATTGATTAGGATTAAAACTGAGTTCAGGTGATTGAAGTGAAATAGGTAGTGCAAAATAATGATGCTTAGGTGGTCTTAGGAAGGAAAGGAACTTCTTCTTGGTTTATGGGATCAATTTCTTTGTTCGTTTTCCTCAATTCGTGTTTTTTATTTTTCTTAATGATTAGTGCATCTTTACAGGGTCTCTGAAGGTTCCTTTTTTGTTCTTGACAAATGGTAAGTTGCAGGCTTGTATACATTCCATTCTTCTAATTAGGATTTTATGTATGCAAACATATTTAAATGTTTTCAAGAATATGTAATTTAATATTTTATACATGCTAGGTTTTATAACATTATATGTTTCATAATGCTTTTTACTTTTGAAGCCAAGATATACAACTAAGCAATTAAATGATGAAGTAATGTCATATAATTCTATTTGATTAGGAGGTGGAATTCCGGAATCTAGACGAGCCATTGAGTTAAGTGAACTTCTGGGCTTAAAGATTTTACCTTCTCAGGTATTGCTTAAAATAATTGTATACTTTACCCCGTTAACCTTGCCTTTGGCACTGATGGACTAATAGAGTCTTTGGCATAGCTGTTCATTTTTCCTGATACAGGTTTTACAGGGTCACTCACCTTTTAAAAGTCTGTTGAAAAGGTATATCTCTGTCAATTTTGTTTGTGTATTCTCTATCTACATGTCTTTAGCTTCAGAATACCATTTCCTTTCTTAACATACTTGGTTTTAGTCATTTTTTTTCCTTGTGCATGATATATTCATTCTATTCTTAAATACCATATCCCAACCATAATATTTCACAAAGACATGTTGATATATTAACCACTCCTCATCACAGAGGAAAAAAAAAGGGTAAAATAAGTTATGCATTCAGCAGACAGCAGCACTAGAGATGAAATAGGAATATTTAAGGTCATTTTGTATTACAAATAGACCAGCTTGAGTTTATAGGATTCTCAAATTCGAAGTGAACTCAGTAGTGTTTATCAGTGGTCAAATTATGATGAATTTCCAGTGGAAAAGGAAAAGGTCCTATCAAATCCTAATATTTTTCAGTAGCGTTCATTACTATATTCCTTACTTGATGAACATCCAGAAGTTAGTCTTGGATACATTTCATAGAGTTTTTTGAAGATCTTTTTATGGAAAAACTATTCTTTTGGTTTTGTGATTTACATTAAATATTTCACCAAGGAAATTAATTTGTTATCCAGATTTACTGTTTATAAATATAACAACTTTTTGTGTTTGAATTGTTTATCTGCCAATATCTTATGTTATCGTGATCTGACTTTCCCTACAGATATGAGAATCAACTCATTGTTGCCACCGGAAAAGGGGAACCTGCTCTAGTAATGCTCGAGTATGGTTTCAAGTAAGTTCTTTTGATATGTACTGGTCATATGATTACCTGTATTTTAGACCATTATTTTGGATTTTGCAACATTTCCATTAAGACTCATTTATTTTTTCTTGGCAGAAAGGTTCTCTCTTTAGATGAGTATGCCTCTCTGTTTGAGAATATTGATCCTGTATCTCAATACAAGAAATGGACCACTAAGCAGGAATTGTGTAGCACTATGAGTACGTCTCTGAATATAACATCAAGATACAATGTTTCTTCTGAAACAGTTAAGGCTGTATTTGTCGTCAGTGATCCTGTAGATTGGGGAAGGGACATTCAGGTATTTCTCCTTTCTTTATGTAGTAATGTATGAACCAGCTTGTGGATCTTTGGATTTCATATAGTGGCTGCTGTGGAATATGGTGATCTAAAACAACTGTGTTGTCTAGTGTAATTTTCTCACTATTTTACCATTGATTATTAAGATGATATTCGTACATAGAGGATTAGATAGTAGTGTTAAATTAAGTTCTTTTTTTAAAATGTAGGCCTCTTGAATTAGATGTTAATTTTTGCCTCCCTGGAAACAAGTAAAATTCATTTATATAACTTACAGAGAAGACTCTTTTCAGTATTAGTATTATTGAGACGAATATTATAAATTGCATGATGAGTAGACTTCTGTAACCGTAACCATAAACTGTGGAAATGAAAACAAGGAGCGTATACAAACTGAGCCAACCCAAGTCTTTGCCTGTTCAACCTAAGGTTTCCCACTATGGAGTCCTGCTTGAACTCTACTCAATCTTGAAGGAGCTCAAAGAGGCGAGCTTGACAGTGACTCTGTTGGAAAACCAAGCTTGAGCCATTGAAAGCTCAGGTCGTGTTCAAGCCAAACCAAACTCAAACTAAAGCTTTTACTCCTTTCTACTGTACTTAATACCACAAATAAAAGACAACATTGACTGGCACACTATTAAAAGGTTTCTTCCGTAGACACACAAAAGTGAAAGGAGGCTATTCCTTTTTTTTTTTTTTTTTTTTAAAGGTTTCTTCCGTAGACACACAAAAGTGAAGGAGGCTATTCCTTTTTTTTTTTTTTTTTGTGGTAAAGCCCACCGGTATCTGGACCCCTAATTACCAGGGGACCGTCGAATCCGGCTCTTTTTTTTTTTTGTGTAAACCACCGGTATCTGGACCCTATTACCAGGGACCGTCGAATCCGGCTCGGGGCTTAGTCACAGTTAAGGCTCTTCACCCCTCCCTGCAGGTGTGTTTAGTGGAGATCAAACCCGAGAACTCTTTCCAAATGCCTAGTTTGCATTGCCAACTGAACCACAACCTATAGGTGAGGCTATTCCTGTTTTTATATTGGAGCTCTCCTTGTTTTTCTCAAAGTGGAATGGAAAATCCATCAGATCTTTTCCTTCTGTTTTTACTTTATAGTAATCATGTAATGTTAATCTAAGGCTAATATCTTTTGATCTAACAATTCATCTTGTATGTGTGAATTTGCAATCACAAAGATCCAATCACATCTCTTTGGCCCCATTTATAGTTTTAATAAGGCAATCATAACAAACTATAAGTATGTATTTGTAATATTACATAATTTGACATAATATTTAGCCCGATGAATGCCTTCCTCATTCATACTTCTCTATTGTGTTTGTGTATGTGTTTATTATGAATAGGGTATAGGTTATTGAGTGAGGAAAACATTTGGATATGTTTTGTAATACTGCTGTAACCATAGAGTAACTTTTGATGACAAAAAAACTTGTAGAAGTGACTATTTATTCTGATTGGAGGGTTATCTGTTAAACTTCTTATAGGTTGTTGCTTTCCTTTTATCTCAATGCTTTGTATTTTACAAGTACGTCTCCCTCCAGTTATGGTCCGACTAATGAATCAGTTTAGGTTATCTGTGATGTTTTAAGATCCGGAGGCCTTCCAGGAAAGGACAGCAGGCATCAACCTCCTTTATATTTTGCTGCTGATGATCTTGAATATCAGGTTGGTACTCCCTTATTTTGTATAGGCCTTGGTCATCTCTGATATTGCAGTAATTTGATCAAAAAGAAAAAAAAAAAAAAGAGTTCATGGATTGATCAATGGATAAATTTTTTCATTGAAACATTCATATTAATTAGTTTGAAGTGAATAAGAGCTTACAAGCAAGACATTTTGTGCGTTGTGCCTAATTATCATCTGACCAGCAGGCTTAAAAGTTGTATATAAATAAAATCATGAGCCTTTCATGCATGCTTTCTATTTTCGGTCTCAATCATTTTTCAATATTTTTAATTCTTAAGTATGACTTATGATTTATTTTGGATCTGAACTGGAGCAGCCTCGTGGGTGATTCATAAAAAGTTATATCCTATTCCTTTCTTTTATTACTTTTGGTTTTGGAGGAAAAATTAACAACTGATGATCGGCTTATTACTCTGTACAGGCTGCATTTTCTTCTCAGCGCCTTGGAATGGGTGCTTTCAGAATTGCTTTGGAGAGTATCTTCAACAGGTGAGGTTAGTGTCTCATTTAATTTAGCATATAAATTTGTTTAAATTCCTTCCTCCCTCGTCCACTAATTTAGTGGTTTGATAGACCACATCTGGTGTTGCATGTCTAAACAAACTCAAAGGACAATTGCCTTTGCTCCAAAAGGGCCCTTTTGAATTATATGTCTATTTCATTTCTTTTTAATCATTTCAGGTTTGTCAAATCACTTCCCCCAGCTGAATAATTTGGGTTGGGCCCATAGTTTAAGGTTTAGCTTGTTTGTTGAATTTATATTTGATCTAGGTTTGCTTGAAGTATGTCATTTCATGCTGGCTTAAAAAAAATTTCTTCATCATGCCTTCTCTTTCCTCCTGCCTCCTTTTATCTCACCACCACTACAACCACCCCCTCTAACAAATACAACTATGACAAATAAAATGCTGCAATCATGAAGATCAATCGAAGCTGGTGAGATCAAACAAAGAGTAAACTACAAAGAGAGAAAGCTGGTGATAAATAAATATTTGTTTGATTGCAAAAAGCACCATCTAGCCCCTTGATTCTTCGCGTTAGAGAATTTCAAGGAATCAAACGAGAAAAGGGTATTAAAAGGTGCAATATTTACAAAACTATGGAGGCAAATATCTCTCTATGCGGTTTATTAGAGCTTTATAATCTTGTGCGGAGAGTCAATTTTGCCTTACAAGAATATATATTTCCTTTTTCAGTGTCGGTTTTGGGTCTTTTTGTGATCAATTGTTGAAAGCAAAGTAAAATGATGAGTTTGTTTAGATCTGAATTTAAATGTGGAATTTCTTTTGGTCTTCAAAGTTCTCTGATTGCTTTGCTTAGTCGCTGGGTTTGATTGTATCTGAATTTTTATTATAAAGTTTATAGTCTATGGTATTTTAGTTTAATCCTTGAAAAATGATGAGATTGTAAGGACTGAAGTCTGAATTTATTTTGGAATCCCCATAACTTGATAGCCTTCAAAGTTCTCTGGTTCCTTTGTTGTATATCTCACTGTTGCTTACAAAGAAATGGATTGACGTTCTCTAAATCTAAGTTATCATCTTTTTGCAAAATGGTTTTCAATGTTATCTTCTTGTAAAAGTTTTGTTTCCTATCAGGCCAGTTTTTCTGGCCTAATTTTGAATTTACTTATTATGCAAATTCATCAAATGATGTGTGGCAATAGCAGACTGATTATGACAAATACAACACCATAGTTGTGAAGGTCGATCAAAGCTGGTGAGATCTAACGAAGAGTAAACTACAAAGTGAGAACAAGGGGGTGGTGTTGGTGGCAATGGCAGTTATTATGGTAATGGTGGTGTGGGCGGAGGAGGAGGAGGAGGAGGTATGATGAAGAAAAAATTTTTAAGCCAGACAAACTGGCTGTTTTCCCCCTTTAAAAAATGCTGTTGAAGCTAGTACTTTTCTTTTAATTTGTTGTTTTTAGTGGAATCCTAAATCAATGTTTACTAACATGCCTGGGGCCTACTTTTTCAAGAGCTAACAACAACATTGGTGATTCTTGGATGGATAGTGGATGGAGGGTACAATTTAAAAAAAAAAAAAAATTGTTAAGTCCATAATCAATTTATAAAATTAAAAGAATTGGCCAAAATTGTAAAAATGGCCAGATTACTGCTAACTTTTCTGGAAAAAAAAAATGATAATTCTCTAAATGTGAAATTGTCTAAGTTAAAGAAATATAAGTATGTTAATCTTATTGTAGAAAATATGGGTAGCAAAAAACACGGTGTTAGTCAAAATGCCATTAAGCTAGTAGCCAGTGGTCATTCCTATCTCTAGGTATAGGGGATCGAGGATTCGAACTTTAATAACCCCAACCCCACCCCCCGTCATTCCTTATCTCTAGGTATAGGGGATCGAGGGATTCGAACTTTAATAAACCCCAACCCCACCCCCCAACAACCCCCCCCCCTCCACCCCCCCCCCCCCCCACCCTTTTCGGCTTTAATATCTAATGGGTAAACAAAGAAGGGTGTTGTTGAAGGTTGTGCTTTCATATTCTTTCCCTAGTATTATTTCCTTTCTTCATTGAATAACTGAGAATATTTTGATTAGTCAACCTTCATACTTATCTATCCATTTCTGTACAGTACTCTTTTGCACGATTCTGCATAAATAATAGCTTCCCTTACGTTCACTTAAGTTTATGTTGGATGTTTTAATTTTGCACATTAGTTTTTGTGATTATGCAGTGACTATTTGAAGTGTATAACAATGGGTTGATATGCTTCGTTGTTATAACTCTGGGCTGTGGCTGTAGGTTCTGGAACATTGTTGTTAGCCAATAAATTAGTGAATCAATTACTTAGGTTTGTTGGTTTATTGCAAAAGAATCTTTCACAGTTTGCTTTCCTTGAACCCTGAGCACTTCTAATTCCCAGGTTTTTTCTTCGTTTCATTTTAGCACCTTATGATTGGGCAGCTATGATTTAAAGTATACCACCTAGTTACCTTCTCTCATGTTCTGGTATTTTAAGACGAAGGAAAAAAAAAAAAAAAAAAAAAAAAAAAAAAAAAAAAACTAAAATGAAAGGAAAAAAAAAAAAAAAAAAAAACTAAAATGAAAGGAAGAAACTTCAGTTCTATATGTTCTTTGAACTTGTGCCATAACACGTGATATATTAGAGCTGAATTACCAACGAAACTGCTGAAAAATTAGTAAAAACTTTTTGCACTGGGATGTTTTATGCTTGGCACTGACTGCAGAATTCACCATAATGATTTGGAGTATATATGTTTTGGGAAACCTAATCCATCTGTATTCAAGAATGCCGAAGCTGTAGTGTCCCAGCTTCAACTGTCTTGTAATACTGAAGCTCCTCTCAGAGAATGTGTGGCCCCTGGATCACCTCCTTTCAGGACTCTTTATATGATTGGTGACAATCCTTCAGTTGACATCAAAGGTGCCCGGCAGGTTTGTCCTGCATACTTGGAGTTAGAGATTTTGACTGATTGAGCCCATATGCTTTGCAGATTGTTACAACCATATATATAGGCAGTCGGTAATCTTGGATTTTCCCATGTAAATAAATTGAAATATATCGTTTTATTTTAATTTTCATTTCAGGCAGGAAATCCATGGTTTTCTATCTTGACAAGGTCAGGTGTTTTCCGAGGGCAACATAACCATGAAGAGTTTCCTGCAGATCTGGCAAGTTAAAGCATGAATTAACTTTTTAAATATTGATTTGAATTTAATATCTGTAAATGCACAAGAAGCCACTCGTGTGCAAAAATATGTACGCAATATTTCAAAATTATCAGCAAGGGGTGGGGACAACAAATCTGCAGTGTTCTTTTTTTTTTTTTTTTTTTTTTTGGTTCCATTTCATTTGATAATACATTTTTCTTTGGAATATGCAGGTGGTTGATACTGTTGAAGAGGCAGTGGATTATATTCTGCAAAGGGAGTGCATTTCTTAGTCCTTTTGCCTCTAATTTGCTCAAATAATTTACTTCAAATATTTTCATATGTTTCATGTTTAGAACATTTATTTGGCACAAATAAAGTTTAAACAAAATGAAAAATGAAAAGTGGAGGCATATTTTGAGACTTGATTTCAAAATAGCATTGTTCATGATGAAATATATGATTTGTGATTATCACAGTACTAGTTCATTGAGGCCATCCAGTCCAGGTAGCACTTTTCCATTTTACACAACATTATTTTTTTTTTTTTATGCAATGGCATTTATGCTAGAAGAATTTGTGGCTACCATGTTCATGCAATTTTGCTTGTGAACTTGGTGGATAATAGCCTTTTTAGCCCCTAATCTTTGTCATTCTTTCCTAATTACCAGTTTCATTTTTCCTGCTGATAATGAACTTTGTTCCCCTGGAAGGAAAATCACATTTCCAATTTTATTTTCTCATATAATTACTTTTTGATTCAACCTCGTTATCTTGTTGCATTACTCTAATTGATTGGGCTGGATGTACTCATACTTTTACCAATTGGTGTACTAATTACTAACTTTTTTTATTTAGGGAAAATCTTAATTTTACAGTAGTTACTAACAATTTTTTTTTCCAAATTAATATTTTTATGTGAATCATTTTATTTATAATTATTTAAAAATAATAAATATTTATTTAGTATATATTATTATAAATTATAATTAATATTTAATTATAAATTATAATTAATATTTTTATTTATATGGCACATTAAAATAGAAAATAATATGTTTATCTTAAAAAATAAAAAAATTATACAATATATTGATAATATAAAGACATTAAGATTATTCATAAGTTAAATCAAATGCACTATCAAAATACCCTCCGAACAAGATGAATCTCGTTCCTGAAGGATATGGATGCTTCAACATCATGCAACTACCAGCAATAGATAATGGAGGAATTTCTTAACAGTCATTAGTGTTTTTTCACAATAAGAAATAATCGTATATATTACTAAATTTATAAATAAAGTAACCTATTCATGTCCCTAAAAAAGCTATATAAAGTATCACTTAGGACCCGTTTGATTTAATGGTTTGTACCAGCTAACAACTGATAGAGGTTGTTGTTTGATTTTATGGTTTGTACCAGTTAACAGCTGATAGATGTTGTTGATAGCTCATGGCTAATAGCAGTTAGTTAATTACTGATCATGTGTTGGTAATTTGGTAAAATATTGATAGTAGTTGTTGTTAAAATATATTTTACTATTAATGGCATAATCGTTTATATATATATATATATATTATTTTATTAGTAAAATAATAATTAAAAATTTTAAAATAATTTTTAAAATAATATTTTAAAGAAAATAATATTTTAAAGAAATTATTTTTAAATAACTACAAATAAAATGATCATAAAAAAATATCAATTTGAAAAAAAAAATTATTAGCAATTACTTTTATGAGGTTTAATGAAGTAAAAAATAATATAAATACGAATCAGCTGCCAACTGATATGAAAAAATAGTCAAAATGTAGCTTATGAAAAAAACAGTTGATTGAAACTTCTATCGGCTAACAGTTGATTGGAACTTTTATCAGCTATCCGCAGTTGCATGAAACAGTTAACCCAAATGTTTCTTAATGTATTTTTAATTTTCTAATGTTCTAATTAATTAATTATATTTAATACAATTTTAATTCAGTAAATAAATAATAATAAATTCAGTTATTATATTTATAACAATTAGTTATTGTATTCAATTAATAGGGGAAAATATTTTAATTTAATTATATACAACAATTAATTAAAATTATTACTCAATGAGAAGGGATAAAAAAATAAAAGTTCATTTATTAATAATAATTAGTTTTCATTTATTAATAATAATTAGTTGCTCATAATACTTAATTAAAAATAATAGATTTTTTTGTATCTTTATAATCTTATGCGGCGCAACCTAACATCTTTAAAAAACTGAATTAGTTCGGTTCGATTTGAATCAAACCAATCAGATACCCACTATTCAAGTTCAAAGGAATTCAGAACAGTAATACATTGCTTTTTCACAAATTAGTTAGCTTTGCTTCTACAACTGAATCTATTCTCCCTCCATATTTAAAAAATACATAAAAGCCAAAAGCCAAATCAAATTAGATCATCTTTTCCTTTTCTCACGCTCAAATTCTTCAATCACAAATCATTCCCTTTCGCTCCATAACCAGAACCCTAACAATGGCTCCAGTTGATCCTCACTCGTTCACCGATTCCACTCACCCACTCACTACCCACATCTCCCTTTCTCTCTACTTCGACTTTGCTTCCTCCACCATCTACTCCACTGCTCTTCTCTCTCTTTCCGCCGCTCACACTGGCCCTATCTCTATCGACACCCGCTCTCTCACCATCTACAAAGTTCTTGACCCCCAAACCCTAATCCCTCTGCCTTTTACTCTCTCTCCGCCGGATCCAATCAAGGGTAGCCTTCTCACTGTCTCTCTCCATAATCATGCTTCAGTTTTAATCTTCTTCTGCACCTCTCCAGATTCCTCTGCTCTCCAGTGGCTGTCTCCGCCCCAAACTTTTGGAAAAATCCATCCTTTTGTTTTTACTCAATGTCAAGCCATTCACGCCCGTTCTGTTTTCCCTTGCCAGGACACACCTGCTGCTCGCATTTGTTATTCTGCCAGATTAAACATTCCTCGCCAGCTTTATGCTGTTATGTCGGCCAGACATTCCGACCGCAGACAGCCTGTTCCTGCGGATTTGAATGAGAAGGTAATAGCAGATGTTGGGTTTGATTTGATGTCGTTGTGGTGTGCTGAAGGGAGAATAGTGGAGGAATTCGTTATGGAGCAGCCAATTCCGCCGTATTTGTTTGCCTTCGCGGTTGGGGAATTGGGTTTCAGAGAGGTGGGTCCCAGGACTAAGGTTTATTCGGAGGCGGTCGCTGAAGTGTTGGATGCGGCGGCGAGGGAGTTCGCAGAGACTGAAGAGATGATAAGGCAGGGAGAAAAGTTGTTCGGACCGTACGAGTGGGAGAGGTTTGATTTGTTAGTGTTGCCCCCTAGTTTTCCTTATGGGGGAATGGAAAATCCCAGAATGGTGTTTTTGACGCCAACAGTGATTAAAGGGGACGCAAGTGGCGCCCAGGTAGTAGCACATGAATTGGCTCATAGTTGGACTGGGAACCTGATTACTAACAAGAATAATGACCATTTTTGGTTGAATGAGGTATGTGACTGATGAAAATGAGGAAAAATTGAAGATGTATGATTGGGCCGCATAATTGGCCTGTTGTGAGTACAAAATTCAGTTTATATATTTGCATGATTGAGTTGGCTAATTGTTTATATTGGTGAAATAATTAAGTCCTATATATTATATGATTTTTTTTTTTTCTAATTGGCTAAAGTTATTTATGAAATGTTGCATTTTGATGTTCAATCTAGTTCAACTGCATTTTATATTAATAATTTAGACCCTGACTTGTCACCACTGCATTTGAGTGTTTAAGAAGAGCATTTATTGACAGTTTAGTGGAAGTATAAGCAGAAAGTTCTGTATTAAAGCACACCTTTTATATTTCTCTTGTTCTATAATGTATTGTGGGAAAAGGGCGATCGAATTTTTAATAGTGTTTGATTATGAAGTGATTTCTTTTGTTTTTGCTATGTGAAAGTCTCAAAGCATATTTGTTTTGTTATGAACTTTTTTATTATCCATGGTTCTAGGGTTTTACAACATATGCAGAAAGAAGAATTGTTGAGGTCGTGCAAGGAGAAGATAGAGCTGTACTGAATATTGGAATTGGCTGGAGGGGTCTAAATGAGGGAATGGAGAGATTTAAGGACAAGCTGGAGTTCACCAAGCTCAAAACCAATCAGGAAGGAGTGGATCCAGATGACTTATACTCAGAAATACCGTATGAGAAGGGCTTCCAGTTTCTATGGCGCATAGAACGCCAGGTATGTTGAGTTCCTTGTTAAACTCAGGGATCTACAATGAAGAATATTCTCACTCACTGGTTGTGTTTAAACTCTGGGATTCTTAGATTGGAAGACCTGCATTCGATGAGTTCCTCAGGAAATATATTGCTACTTTCAAGTTCAAATCAATTGATACAGATATGTTTCTCGATTTCTTGAAAGCAAATGTCCCAGGAATAGAGAAGGATATTGATCTTCAATTATGGACCGAGGGTACTGGCATCCCTCCAGATGCATATGAGCCAGTTTCCAATTTATATACAAAGATTTTATCACTTGCGAATGAGTTTAAGCTTGGCAGGATGCCTAGGGAGGATGAAGTTGCTGATTGGCAAGGGCAAGAATGGGAACTCTACTTAGAAAACCTGCCCAAATCTGTTGAAGCTTCTCAGGTAGTAATAATTGTCTTTATGATTTCACTCCCTGGTTTGTGTAAAAGGTGACTTTGTTGGATTATGATTTGAACTTATATTATCTAATTGCTTGGTCTTCTATATCTCTGTGTATTCCCTCCTTGGAACTATTTCTGGTATAACATAAACATTCTACCTGTTTTGCTTTGTCTGTCTGGATAGAGAGTAAGCGTGTAAGCTCATTCATTGAATTCTAAATGATGTGGGATAAGAAATTAAAGCTCTTTCTTTGCTGCCAACTGCTTGTCTTTACTATCTAGGATGGTTGTTTTTCAACTATAGATTAATTTTGCTCTCATCAAGTAACTTGTAAAGGATGTTTTTCACTACTTGTAGATGATAGGTTGTTGAGACACTGTTGAAGTTGTTGAATAACTTGTAAACGAGTTGTATATTATTATCTTGGTTAAAGTTGAATTTGGCCAACTCTGATGGAACCTTTGTTTGTGCAGTAAACTAATATAGATAACTAAATTGCAATTTTTGCGTTATTTTTGTCAAAATTTTACTTTACTTTATTAGCCTTTTCGAATAGTGTTTGCCTTACTCAGTACTTGGGTATTTCTTCTTTACCCAGATTACCCGTGTCAAAAAGGATAGGATACTTGTGCAAGCGTATAAAATCCTTGGCATTTCAGAAAGGTGGAAATATCTATTTATTTCTGATAATAGCGAGTTTGATGACCTTGTAGATGCACCTGTATTGAATACTCGTGCTAAGCCCAATTAACATAGTTTTAACTAAGGCTAGTCATCTTTTCTACTATAAGGGTTCGTGCCAAAATGACGATATCTTGTCCATACTGTTTAACACATTATAAAGCTCTAGTCTTATTCCACCGTGGCTCTTTGTTTTTGTTAAACTGATATATGCACAAAGTTTCTCTTGTTGTGCTAAAAGTTGAAAGGATTTCTCCCATGCCGAAAATGAGTTGGCTGTTGATGGTGGAAGTGAGATTCCAATTCTAATTGCTAAACATCCACTTCATGATGCAGATGTTAGCTTTGGACGCACGCTACAGGCTGTCAGAATCAAAGGATTATGAGGTGAAAGTAGCATTTCTCCAACTGGCCATTTCATCTAGTTGCAGAGATTACTATAATGTGGTGGAGAAAACTTTGAAGGAAGTTGGGAGGATGAAATACCTTCGACCACTCTACACTTCTCTAGTTCAAGGCACCGGAAAAGACGAAGAAAAGATTTTGGCTAAAAGAGTGTTTTCGGAGGCTCGCGAATGCTATCACCCTATTGCTCAAGGTGTTGTTGAGTCCATCTTTGCCAAGCACATGTAGATGGAGGATAGTATACAATAATACAGTGTCTGAACCTAATTTACAGACCTTTGGTCTTTGAGAACTAGGACGACGCTGGTGACCTCTGATCTGTTAATTATACTGGACAGAAAGACTAAGTATTAATATAATTATAATTATAACTTACTGACATCGTAATTAGTTTTCGAAAATAAAGATCCTTGCATGTTCATTTGATTTTAATTTAGGGATCGATTTATATTTATTGATTTTAATAAAAATAAAATAGTGAAATCTCAGTGAAATTTTTATTTCTTCAAAGTAGTAAAATTAAGTCAGGATAGAATTTATTGATTTCATGGATTATAATGTATTTTTGCTAAATAAAATAAAAAATTTGACGAATTTATAAAATGGTTAAATATCATTACTAAAATTCCATTAATATAATTAGAAAGATAGTATATCATAAGAAATTTGAGTTGAAATTCATGCAATCTCTAGGAAAAAAATATTAAGAAAATTAAAATTGATTTTTGTTATTTTCAGAAAAAATTTTAATTTAAGAAGAAAATTACACTCTCACTCACAAGTGGGAGGGAACCACCATCGAAAAGCTCCGATCATGACAATGGACGGTCCAGATCCAGTTTCCAATTCTCAACTGGACCCCACATTTAAACAAAAAAGAAAAAGAAAAAAAAAAGGTTACTCCAAAATAATTATTATACCCCTCTCTCTCCCCTTCCTCAGGCAGACACTTCTCTGTTTCGTATCTCTCTCTGTCTCATCCCAAAATATCAAATTTGCCTTTTTTTTCAAAAACAAAATCAGGCAGAGAGAGATATATAGCGAGAGAGAGAGTGTGTGTGAGCAGAGAAGAAAAAGAAACTCTAAAATGGACGATTACACCAGAGAAATGATGGACCTGAAGACTCTCGTCACTCGAACCCTAGAAAAGAAGGGCGTTCTTGCCAAGATCCGGGTAATTTTCCTTTAAAATTCAAATCAATACTCCATTTTACTCTCTTAATCTCTGTTTGCTCGACGAGAAACGGATATTGATTAATAGAAAGTGAAAAATGAGATTAGGCCTTCAGGAGGTCTAATTTACTTCCCATAAGCCAATTGATTGATGAAAGATAAGCTAGAGGTTCTTTTGTTTCCATTTAATCGATACAGGCTTTTCTTTTTACTCAGATCTTGTGCCATGACAGAAGTATCTGATATTTCTTTTTTCTTATTTTTGTACCCGTTTAGTTGGTATTGTAGATCTTATTTTGCTGTATCTGCAATCAGTATTATCTTTAGTTAATTTAGTTCATTCCATTTTTTAAAGAATTTTATATGATGTTTATTTGGTGCTTAGGTTTTTGTTTGGAGATTGTTTTAGAAGGAAATTTAATGTGTCCCTAAACTATCTACTTGGTTGAAAATCGAATATTGCTTCTGGTTTTTATTGTCAGTTTAATTTTATGTTTCCGATCATCTGTTTTTTTTGCCTGTCTTTTTCATTTACTCTTATATGTTTTGGCCCCAGGCTGAACTTCGGGCAAGTGTTTTTGAGGCAATCGAAGAGGAGGATAGGGTAATCGAAAAAGAAGAAGCAGTACCTCCTGCATTGTTGGGAAGCTGCAACGACCGCGCAAAACAACTTCATGCTTCCCCTTCAGGTTTGCTCCTTGAATTGTAGCCTTTAATGTCTTTGTTTCATGAGTTTGCAAGTGCTGAGACTTTTGTTTTTTCTACGATGGGAGTTGTTTATTTAATGTTTCCTCTTGATGGTATTAGTATTGCCACGCTCTTTTCGGTGAGTATGTAAGGACTGAACTTTGTAAAGAAAGTTGCTTTGTGTACTTCGGATGATGAAAAAGAATGAAGTAAACAAATTTTTTATGGCATAATAAATACGTTTTAAAGGTTCATGGTTGCTTTTAGAAGCTAAACTTTGAAAGGTGGCCTTTTAGATTATGTTGATGCTGATGTTTGTACGGCTTTAAGTTGTCCTTAGAAACTATATTGCTTGTATCATTTAAAGGTTAAGAATTTATGTTCTAATTTAAACGTTTGTGTGCTTTCTTTTCTGTTATAACAAGAAATTCAGTCATTTTATCATGCCTTCTATTTTGAATTTTCTTTCCAAATGCAGGGAGGTTACTAACTTCTCTGATATGTGAATATTTGGACTGGGCGCAGCTAAATCATACGCTTAAAGTTTATCTGCCAGAGTGCAATTTGGTAATCAAGTAACCTTTTCAAAGTTTATTGCAAGAAATATTAACAGCATGTAACTTTACTTTTATGTGAGAGCTAAACTAATGTTCTTATTTTGCAGCAAAAGGATTTTTGGAAAGCTGAGTTGAAAGAATTTAGTAGCAAAAATGGATACGATCTTAACAGAAATGGGGACAGTGGTCCATTACTTTTGGATGTTCTTGAAGGATTCTTGAAGTTTGAGGTTTGTCCATAAATTCTTCTTTTTGAATTCAATGTTTTGACGCTGAATTTCTAGGGGGAAAGAGAAGTCTTCAATTATGTTATCCAGATAGCAGACCAAATATAAATGTGACATGATGCAGTCACTTTTGGTGTCTGGTTATTTTTGAATGATCTGTTTGAACTATTACTACTAATCTTCTTCACCATGTCTGAGTTTCTAGCAATCATCAGTGCATGAATGCTGACTGGCTGTGTAGCATCCTTCTAAGTTTTCTAAAAATGTTTTAGCAGGCACTTTGAGAAATTGAGGCCTTGTACTAAAATAACATTGATGGGTGATTTTTTTTTTTTTTTTTTTTACTAAAATCAACATTGATGGGTGATTTTTTTTTTTTTTTTTTTTTGGTGCCCTTATTTCTTATCAAAATTTGATGAGAAGATTGGCTTTCACTTTCCAGAAACTGAGACTGGAATTGGATCTCCTAATTATATGTAGTGTTTTTTTTTTTTTTTTTTTTGGTGCTTATTTCTTATCAAATTGATGAGAAGATTGGCTTTCACTTTCCAGAAACTGAAGACTGAATTGATCTCCTAATTATATGTAGTGTAGCCTCAGTATTTTTGAGTGTATCTTAATCCTGGAGTTATTGATGCCTCTGTTAGAGAAGTTGTAATACAAAGTGCACGTTTAGTTTCTAGTGGAGTAATTTTATTTTTCCCCAACAACAATGAGGGAGATGGACTTCTTGCTTAAACCCCATATTTATTGTAAGGAGTCTTAGAATAGGTTTCCAAAAGATTATTATAGTAGATCAAGGAATACATGCCTCGTGCTTTCTCGCACATGATATTATGACTCTATAAGTTAGAATTTAACCGTTGATGGAAGTCTGTATTCATCTACATGTGCATTTTTGCATACATATATAGGTCCGCATTGGGTTGTCAAATATTGAGAAATTTTTGGAGGACAGTGTTTATGGATATGGGAGGACTAGTGATTATGCTTGATAATGCGTCTATGTTGGTTGAAGGAGGTAGAAGGTTTAAAGCCAAGAGATAGGATTGGGAAGACTGGCAAGAGAAGGATGAAACATCTAATTGGTAATATGAAGAGCAACAGGGTTTTGTATGTTAAGGAAGATAAAATTTAATATGCTTGGAGTATGGAATTAAATTAAGCTAAAAGCCTTCTCTAGTTATAAAACAAATGAGACATGGGGCTGAGGATTAGATCAAATTCCAAATTTTAATTCTTTTGAAGAATTTTTGATGTTTAATATGAAGAGGAACACTTTGAACTGTTGAATTCTCTAACCACAAGACACATTGCCAAAGAGAATGTGAACCGAAGAAAAGAAGAGATTGAAATTCACTACCAAGGGTTTAGGATCTAAATATGGGGAGTGATTTGAATTCATTACATCCTATTACGGTTATGCCTCCAGGAGACTTGTTTGGCATCATATGCTTTTTGTTTGGGAGCTTATCTACTGTAATTTTTGCACCTATAACATGGCTGGCCATTGGCTTGCTGACATGATAACATAAGATTTGTTTTGTAAATATCTGTGAGGTTATGCCTACAGTTTAGCTGGCTGATCATTAAACTTGCCCATACAGTGAACTTTTAAAATTGAGGATATAATGATACTTAGATAGCTATGTTGCTTGAAGTTCTCTGGAAATGCTTTGGTGTTTATTTGCAAAACAATGATCCAGTGTATGAACTTTGGAGGTTATGATTGAAGGAAAGAAGGCAATTGTATTAAGATGTGCCATGTTTGCGGTAGATTAGCCTGCACTGATTTAGCAAAATAAAAGAATTTCGAGGATCATTTCTTGAAGTTAGTTTGGTTCTCCTTTGTTTTACCTGCTGCGGGAAAAATTCAGGAATCACAGGGATTGTTGTTTGTTGTCGAAGTTAATATAGTTTAAAAAGCAACTTCTTTTTAGAATAGTTTTCTTTGGTCTGTTTTTACTACTTCTGCATCTTTAGGAGGAACCGTTTTCTTCCTGCTTGTAATTTCATCTCCTCTTATTGATTTTCTTCTTACCATAGTAGTTTGCGTTGCAAGTTTGTTGTGAACCTCTTATTTTTTCCCTCTTGGAATTTCTAAATCTAATTCAATTTAATGTTCATCTCTTTCTAATGGGTGCTTTTTCTTACGAGCTACTTTCCCTTGTTCATGATTTGCTTTCTTTATCAATTGTAATTTTTCTCAGGTTATTCCTAAATAAACTATTTTCTGTGGAATTTGTTGTGACAGAACTTGTCCCAAGGAAGGGGTATTGGAAGAAGAGTGCCGGAAGCTGAGTCCTTATCTAATTTAGACTCAAGGAATGTTCGAAGACCCTCTTCATCATCTGTTGCTGGTGGTTTACCTCCATTAGGAAGGTGCTGGTCCTGTCAATTTTCCCTTGCATTTCTTTTACTCTCTTGCTAGTTTTCTATCCATCCGTCTATTTATTAATTCATTAATGATTTCTTTTCTTCTTGTTATCTTTATGCCAGGCCCACTTCTTCTCAGACATCTGGTGAGTGATTAGCTTGTCATTTTATCTTCTCTAATTGTTGGTTCCTGAATCTGATGCCCTTGTGATCTAGATAGAAGAGCAGGATCGTCTATGTCTGGTTACAGGAAAGATGAATGCAATTGGAGATATGACAGTGATGAACTTCAAGAGGATGTGATTCGAACTTCACTGGAAAACCTTCAATTGGACAGGAAAGCTCGCAATCTAACTACATCTTGGCGGTAAGTTTTCTCATCTTCACTAAACAAAATGTTCCATAATGCAATAGGGGAATGGAAACAAAGGATTTATATAGTCCAATCCCATTTAGTTTGGGATTAAAGCTTAGTTTGGTAGGAGAACGCGGAGTTTGGATGTGATTGGATAATTAGGTCCTTGTGGAGTAAAGATGGAAAAGGCTGATCTGAATATAGGAAGTTTCCACATTGTGGACATGATAGTTTCCCTTATTCTTGCACACATTCAGAGAGGATCAACTTACCACTGGATAGAGTTGAAAATTTGAAAAATTCAGTTAGGTATTTTAAAGCCTAGTGTTCATCAACATTTTTTACATTTTTTTTGGTTCCTTAAGGTGTAGCTACTGTAGAACTTCTGTGATAGTTTCAATATCTTTTTAATTTTTCCGCCTTTGTTTTGTGAATATTTTCTGCCACATTTTACTTATGCCACCTCAATCTAGATTTTCTAGTTATATGAGGTATTTGTGTTCCATGCAAGAAAATATATGGTACGGAAAGCCTGCTTTTATACTGAAATTGGCTTTTATATGGGGGCTTGGCAAAGCATGAATCCTGTGGTCATACTTAGAAGTCTCCACCCTCTTTCCCTCCTGGTATGCTGTTTAGACAGTTTGAACATAATTGTATTGGTTTTGGTGGTGAACTATTCGCCGTGCAGAATGAGATCCATCATTTGCTTATTAATGATTTTGGAATTTGATTTTTGTATTCATGAAAAAATGAGATGCCCATAAGTAATTTTTTGTTGTGTACTTAGTATCCTAAGCCTGTGTGTTGGATTACGTTGCAGGCATGCTGGGGATGGAATCAGCGACGAGGATGGCAGGGTCGACCACATTTAGCTGAATGGCATCCTCTTCTACGCTTCATCGGTAGTTTAGTGTGTATTTTTAATTTTTACTCCGTCAAATGTTATGTTATCAGGAAAAGAGGGTAGTTATTTTATGTAGGTCTTTTTTTTTTTTTTTTTTTGATTTTTTTTCTTTTCTCCCTCTGAAATTTATTGTGAGGTGATTTAGTGTTTGTATGAGCTTCCTTCATATTTGCTCCGATGGTATCCATTTGATATTCTAAATGTCTAATTTTTGTGTTTTTTTTTATAGAGTTGAGAATGTAGTAATTGCATGATTTAATAATTGTTGAAGCTGAAGATCTCATTTTGAAATAGAATGTTAGAACATGCTATTAGACATTGCTCTACACTTCAATTTGTACCTTTGCGTTCCGCCATACTTTGTATTGAGAAAAAATTTAAAGACTGTTGAGAAAAGATTGATTATAATCTTTGAAATTGATCGCAATTTCATCATTGTAAAAGCGCCAGAAATGATAGGATTTTAATCCCTTATTAATAATGTAATTTATACTGTTTAACTTTATTTGAAAAATGTTTTTTAAATGATAAATGTGAAATTATATTGATTTCAAAATTCAATAGAGACCTTTTGATTTATATGGAATATGAGGTTGACGTGGTCATCATTAATAATAATATTAATAAAAACATTGCTTCTTAAGCTCATTTTATTATTTTTAAAACTTCATAATATACAAAATCAATCAAACTATATAATTATGTTTTGTACAGTATCGACCAACTATAATATATATATTTACAGTTTTTTATTTATTTTTTATTTAAACATTTTCCCAACTCTCTTTTTATACGAGAACATACGGATATAATAATTTTTAAAAAGTATGACAGCTACATGTATAGAATACACTACATTTAATAAGTAATATATTAATATTTTAAATAAATAGCGAGAACATACGGATAAATAATTTTTAAAAAAGTAAATGACAGCTACATGTATAGATAACTACATTTATAAGTAATATATTAATATTCTTAAATAAATAAAATAAATAATCATTTATAATAAATTATAAATAAAAAATAAAAAAATTAATTTCTTATTTCAATGACAAAAAAAAATGCTTCATTTTTTATTGGTAATAAAAAAAAAACCTTGGTTAATTAGTCTAGTGTATTAAGTAGTCTCATATACCAGAGGCTAGGTTGCACGGACACGGGACATGATACAGGAACATGCGAAATATGGCATTTTTTAAAAAAAGTAAGACATCTACATGCTTAGAACACAGTACACTAAATAAGTAATTCATTAATATTTCAAATAAATAAACAACCATTTATAATAAAATCACGAAGATAAAATATATTCTTATTTCAATGATACAAAAACAAATTAAACAAAAACACCTTTTTTTTTTTTTTTTTTTTTTTTTTTTTTTTTTTTTTTTTTTTGTGTTGGTAAAATAAGAAAAAACCTTCCGTTGATTAGCTTGGTGTATAGAGTAAAGTCTAATATAGTAAGAGTTAGGTAGCAATGGACACGAAGATACGGGAAATAATTACAGAGATACAAACAATTTTTTAAAAAGGGTAGAAAACATCCCACACCACTAATGACTATATTACACTAAATAAGTAATACATTAATATTTCCAAATAAATTAAACAATCATTTATAATAAAAATTATAAAACATAAAATAAAAAATATTTAGAATATTTCAAATAAATAAACAATCATTTATAATAAATTATAAACATAAAATAAAAAATATTTAGTTTCTTATTTCAATGACACAAATAAATTTAAAAAAAAAAACACTTCATTTTTTTATTGATAATAAAAAGAAACGTTGGTTGATTAATTTAGTGTATGAAGTAGTCTTATATATAAAAAATTAGGTTGTATGGAGATGGTACACGAGATACGGGGAATGTACATGATACGATAATTTTTTAAAAAGTAAAATATCCACATGCTTAGAACACATGATACTAAATAAGTAGTACATTAATATTTCAAGTAAGTAAACAATCATTTATAATAAATCATAAATATAAAATAAAAAATACTTAATTTCTTATTTCAATATACTAATTAAAATTTCAAAATTATTATCAATATTGAAAAATATATCAATAGTGTGTATGATTTTTTGATGTATGTCATATCATGTATGACTTTTACTATTACATACCTTATGAAAGGTTTCGCATGATACTTAAGAATGTATATTTTAGTATTGCAAAATTTTTCAGCATGTGTCAATGAGATATAACGCATAATTTATTATATAATTTTACTCTTTTTAATGATGTTATAAAAAATTATTTTATCTTTTAATATTACTCCGCATCGAGCGTGTTCTAACACTAATTTATTTAAAAAATAATAAAATTTTCCAAGCTTATACTCTGAAATAATAATAATAATAATTCACAACAAGAGTGGAACAGTAACTGGGGTAATTTTTAGTTTTTTTTTTTCTCTTTTTTAAAATGTGTACTTAACCTTAAAATCAACATGCGAGTGCTGTTTAACATGCAATACTACATATTACATACACACGCCGACAGTGGATAGCATCTCTTAGTTGGACTTCAAATGTAACCAAAATCCACTCGGCAGCCGAACTCCCAACTTCTAACGTAACCTATTTATGTGTTTGTCTGATCTCATCCTAGTCTCTAATTACAGGTTAGACTTTGATGTTCTAATACATTCCTGGATTCACTAATTGGTCTTTTTTTTTTATTATTATTTTCAAAGAATTCCATGAATTAAAATTCAATATTTAATTTAATTCACTCAATAAATTCAAGATTCAATATAAATTTCTAAGGTATAACATTAAAACCCATGACAATTATCCATCTAATATCTTTTATATATATATATACAATTGGTTATTAATTTTTTTTCATGCTCTACTGTCAGGCTCATGAGAGGAAAGTACTTTTTCGCAATAAATTCAATTCTCTATGATCCTTAATTAAAGAATTTGAGTCTTTTTTACTCAAGCTAACTCTCATTAATACCGATTAATTATTTATTTATTGTCTCAAAAATAAATAATTAAATTATATTTTTATAAATTTTTTAAATACTTATTATGAAAAATAAATTATTAAAAAATTTAAATAATATTTCATATTTAAATTAAAAGTAATTATTTTATTTTTCATTCTATTTCAAGTAGTTTCAAGAAGTCAAACCGAAATTTAGTTAGTGAAAGAAGCAAGTACCGAAATCACCACATAACACCTCGTGGCTTCGTTTCAACGTCAACACTTTTTTATAACAATCATCACGTGTACTCCTCTTCCTCCTTCACTCCCAACGATTGAAGAAAGCCGCCTCCTTGCTCTTCCCTCTCCCCGATTCAAATCTCTCTCTCTCTCTCTCTCTCTCTCTCTCTCGCTCTCTGCACCTACTCTTCCTCCATGGCTCTTTCTTTAAGAGCAACCACAACCAAAACTACAGCCCTTTCGTCTTTTCTATGTCGTGCTTTCTCTTCTTCTTCGTTAAATTCCGAAACTGACCTTAGATCAGCTCCCTTTTTAACGCAAAATCCTTTGACTCTCCGTCGCGACACCACCGACAAAAGTATTCAGTGGGTTTTTCTTGGCTGCCCCGGCGTTGGTAAGGGTACTTACGCTTCTCGTCTTTCAAATCTTCTCGCCGTCCCTCACATCGCTACTGGAGATCTCGTCCGTGAGGAGCTCAATTCCTCCGGTCCTCTCGCCTCTCAGGTAGTTTTCTTTCTTTAGGTTTCTACTTTTTCCCCTTTTGATTTGAATTATAATTGGAATTTGTTGCACTGGCTTTCAATTGCTCGACTGCGTTTTATGTGATTAAAGCTCCAATTTTTACTTCTTCAATGCCTTAATTTTGTTGCTATCGTTGTCTTTGTGTTTCTTTTCGCAGCTTAAGGAAATTGTAAACCAAGGGAAATTAGTTTCGGATGAAATTATTATAAACTTACTGTCTAAGCGGCTGGAAGCTGGGGAAGCTAAGGGAGAAACTGGTTTTATTCTAGATGGTTTCCCTCGCACGGTTAGACAAGCAGTGAGTATTTCTGCCTTGGTGAGATGTGAGGGGTTTAATTGAACTGGAGGGTTTTTACAATCACTCGCAAAATTGTAGTTAGTCGTAAAAAGTTTAGCTTTTGACAAAAATTATAACTAGTTATAAAAAGTTAGTTGTTTAGTCTTTCATTGTGATCCTTCTATTACTATTTATGTTCTCTTGTAAATGTTTTTGCTTATTTTGTTGGGAGTTTCTAATGCAAAAGGTTCCATCTTTTTCCGTTTTGGACTATCGTTTACTTAATTATTTGTATGCAGTATGCCTTCATTAACTAACCTTAAATAAACCTTATTTTTCCTGAACTTCAATTCCAATCTATCCATGGGTTGGCAGTTTCTTAGTTTAGTAACAGTTGCTAGAAATGCTTACAAGTGTAACGGAAAGAAGTACCGATAATCCTGGAAAGAAGAAGAGTTACTCAAGTATCATCAGCTGTCAGCATTAGCCTATTAAAATATTTCATTTGTTATGTTTTGATTTTTCGTTTTCCCTCCCTATTGCTTTGTTTTCACCTCTTAAATGATGTCCTTGTCATGATCCAGGAAATATTGGAGGGAGTGACAGATATTGACTTGGTTGTTAACTTAAAGCTTAGGGAAGAAGCTCTACTTGCGAAATGTCTTGGAAGAAGGATTTGTAGTGAGTGTGGAGGAAATTACAACATTGCCTGCATTGACATCAAGGGCGATAATGGGAAGCCTGGAATGTACATGGCTCCACTTCTTCCTCCTCCTCATTGTGCAACAAAACTTATCCAACGGTCTGATGATACGGAAGAAGTTGTTAGGGCGCGACTCCGGATTTACAATGAAATGGTATTTTTGCTTTTCCTATTTAATATGTTTGGAGAATTAAAAACTTTATTACTACCAATTTTTATATATAACACAAAAATATAAGTGTCATAGGACATGTAAGTTTGTTGTTTTAAGGTTTAGCGTGTTAGACACTTGGAAGTAGATGCATCATGCAAAATTAATTTTGGGATAATGAAGGATAAACGATAACCAAAAGTATAGATGGAAGAACAGTAAATTTTACATTTTCAATTTATTTGTAGTGTAAGAGATGTTTTTGAAGGTTTAATATTAATTTAGAATATTTGGAAGTTTAATTTTGCATTTAGTGTAAGAGATGTTCTTGAAGGTTTATTGTTAATTTGGTCTAGTTTCTAAAATTTTCTGTTTGAAAGATTTTTAAAACTAAACATCCAACTCTTTTTTCTCACCTTTCTTGGAGTAATTTTCAGGAAAACAAGCTTTGCTTTCTTTTCCTCTAACTAAATACGTTGTTACTCGTTGGTATCATTTCTTTTTTTTTTTTTTTTTTTTTTTCTTTCCTCTTAACTAAAACGTTGTTACTTCGTTGGAATCATTTCTTTTTTTTTTTTTTTTTTTTAATTTCTCCACCTCTTAGAAAAATTTGCATCAATGGTGACTAAAAGATAAAATATATCTATTACATGAATGAACCCTGTGAAGGAAACTTATTGATACAATCATTAGATTAGATCATTCCCTCACACTTGTACTGCAATAATGGTAAGTAGTTTTGAATACCTTTTTTTTTTTTTTTTTTTTTTTTAATTTCTCCACCTCTAGAAAAATTTGGCATCATATGGTGGACTAAAGATAATATATCTATTACATGAATGAACCTGTGAAGGAAACTATTGATACAATCATTAGATTAGATCATTCCCTCACACTTGTTACTGCAATATGGTAGTAGTTTTGAATACCTATATCCACCAAAAGATATGGAACAGTTGACAACTTACAAATGTATAGGACACTGCCCGATTGCCATGCTAATATTTCATTCTCATTAATTCTTATGCACCTCATTTGTATTTGCACACAAGAGTGCTTTAAATTGTGAAGGGGCATCTCTATTCTATTCAAAGAACTCTCACACTTCTATTGACATGCAGCCTTAAACACTTAATAAAACCTCATGGCTGCTCATCTTTCAGGAGTTTGTTGTTTTTGTTTTTTTTAAACCTCCATGTCACTAATTTTCTCTTTATTCCTGGCTATCTAATAAGCGTGTTACCCTTTGCCCTCCTTTCAGTAACTCCTTGTAATATCTTTTTTTTTGTTACTGCAGAGTCAACCTGTTGAAGATTTCTACAGACATCGTGGGAAGTTGTTGGAGTTCGAACTTCCTGGAGGAATCCCAGAATCTTGGCCAAAGCTGCTTCAGGCTCTGAATCTTGAAGAGCATGAAATTAAACAGTCCGCAGCTGCTTGAGTTCCTATAGTTCTGTACCATACTTTGCAAGGTAAGTTAGGTCATTCTTTTCATGTGAGGGACATATTATTTAAATGAAGGGGAGCAAAGAGGTATGAACAATAAACAGAGTCTAAACATTTAGAAGATGTGATATTGTTTGGAGAGCAGGGAGGCACTCTGCATTGTTGGAGATTTTATATGGCTGACAGACTGTTTAGTCCAATGTTATTATATCATGATGAACTACAATTGCCATTCAATTTTACCATTAGTAGTATTATTTGGTTGACAGGTGGTTTAGTTCATGGTAACTATATTATGGCCAACTGTCATTGCCATTCATTTTTGCTGTATCTTTTGGTTATGAAATTTTGTTTCTGGGTTTTACGGAGTTGGAAGTTGCAACCAAGAAAGCAAATAAAGTGGGAAGTTAATCAGTTGCTAATTTGAAACTAAGCGCGCTCTTTAGTTTTCTTTGGATTTGCACAACCTTTCCTGCGAGGCAATATTATTTATTATGAGGTGCTATTCAACGTCCTAAATTTTCCTTTATGCATTAAATTGGGAATGTTTTTGACTCGATATTAATAATCTCATTCTTTGGTACTTTGCTTGAAGACCGTGGGCTAGAATAAGCATCTCCTTCTTGTTTTCGGGTTAACCATTTTTTTATTGTATTATTTTATCTTTTTGTGGGGGAGTATTGTGTGTGTGGGTCTAGTGTCCTCCTTTCAATGACAAATTTTAGTTGGAAAAGAAAAAATCATAACTCGTTATATCCTTTTTTCTTTTATTGATTGAATATATACACGTTCCAAGTTTCTGTATTTCATTTATAGGTTCAAAATCTTTTGGGAATTGTTGCTTAACATGTCAACTATGCGGAATGCTTGCATTATGTATGTTTACCTATCAGCTTCATGTTCTGAGATTGAGTAGCTCATTCTTTTTCTGCCATTATGTCATCAGCATGTATGTCAAAGATGAGCTCATATCTCATATTGGACTATCCTTTCTTGTTCAGTACTTTAAAAGGGAAGAAATTGGAAAAAAAAAAAAAAAAAAAGAAGTTTTTAGTCATGTTAGTCTGAATTCTTATATCTGGATACTTTCTTTTTTATAAATCATTTACTCAAATTTGAAAGTGTAAAGCCAATTCATAAATGTTTTCACATTTTAATTATATGTGAGGGATGAGGCATGTGTTTGTGATGCAGATTTTTTGTTTTTATTTATGATGAAAAAATTTTAGTGTCACTGCAAAATCAAAATGGTGCGTTTCCAAATTTGGAGTTGCAAATTGCAATAAAGATTTGAGAAACTATTGAGTTTCATGGTAAGGAGTTGTTTGGTTTATTCCCTTCTTCCGTTAAGCATATTAGCTTAGTTGCTCGGAAATTGATGCTGTAGTAGCCTCCCCTGCTATGTTAATTTCACATGGAATTTGTATGTATTCACCTGTAGAGGCTGTTGAATAATCAGAATGTACATGCATGGAGTTAGCCAATTTCTATATCAAGGTAGAGAATACAATTCTGCAGAAATTTAATTTTTTTCATACAAATTAGTAGGTTTCTTCGAAAGGCAAGTAGTATGATTCCGCTTGCATCTGAACTGAACTGAACTGCTAAAAATGTTAAAGAAGACGAGTTTGGAGGCGACAGTTTCAATTAATTGGTGAATTTTAGTTTATTAATTTGAGGGTCTTTATCAAAAAGTTTAAAAACAAATGGATTTTGAGTGTACATATATATATATATATATATATGGGGTAAAATCTCTTGTTTTTTTTGGATGTTCAAAGACACTGAAGCATTTATCTTGTAGCATGGGGCCTTATCTACCCATGAAGGCCAATGCTTAAAAATAGCCCACTTGAAATAGAAAATGTAAAAAGAATATTAATTTTGGAAAATGAAATAGCACGAAATAGTTATTCAGTAAATGGATTTCATGCTATATGATGCAAAATAATAATTGCATTTGGTGGTGTAATCATTACTAGGTATTCGCAAATAGCGGTTTAAAGTAAATCTTAAAAATTCTATTTAAAACAGTTTTTTTGACTTAGTTAAAATATCAAAGTTAAGAAAAATAAAAAAATTTTAAATTTTAGCAACATTCAAATATTAAAAAAAATAAATATGAGAAATACAGTAAATAATAAGAAAAATAAATAGTAACTCTCATCTTTAATTTAATGGCTGACAAGCTGATTTTCACCTCACACACCAATGTTTATCCTATACAATTACAATTAATTTTTTAATAGATTAAACTGTGCTATGAGATACAAAAATTTACAAATTCACAATCAATAACAATTAATTTTCAATCACTGAAAAGATTTCTGTAAGGGGTAAAACACTTGAGAATGCCAGTCATTGAAGCGACTTCTGTGATAAGCCTTTTTGGAATTTGCCCTTTCTCCTCCTCGTCCACCTTCACTCCAGCTCTTCAATGGCGGACTCTGTCCTTCAGCCTCCTGCACAATTCTATGAAATCCCAGTGACCCATCTACTGGAATTCTAAAAATTCTAAAAGGATTCTTCCCTCTGATCTTCTTTCTGTCACTAATTTCTGTAGCAACTCGATCTGCAACTACAAATGAAATTCCAAACTTTCTCGGTTGAGAACGAATTTCGCACAATCTCAGGTGATTTGATTTTTCCATTTGAACTGAATGCAAAGAAATTGCAGACCATTAAATTTATTTATAACTGAAAGCAATTGAGAAGAGAAACCATGAACAGGAACAAAACTGATTTACAAATCAGCAGTCAGTTGCAAATGGTAATTTTAAGTTTAAACAATGGAAGACACAATATTATATAATATTCATATAGTAAGATCCGCAAGGCTTTCAGTATAAGCTTCCTTTAAATAACTTCCAATTCAACGAAAGTTGTAAACCAGGGGAAATTTAGATGGTTTAGTTGTTATTAATGAATGCCAATAGTTGCGTCCGCAAACATTTTTTTAAGAATTTTTCAGCATTTGCGTTTTGATTATAGTATTTAAAAATATAATATTTAAATTAGCTTTCGTCTATTAAGATATCGATTTATAAAAAGTTAATTTATATAATATTTTTATAAAAAAATTACTCAAACAATTAATAATTAAACGCTGCTAAAACAATTAATAACTATCATAAAAACAAATTTTGCCCATAAATCTAATAAAACAAAAAGCAAATATAGTCTTGCTGATTTTTGAAAGTACAAAATCTTAAGTTTGAATTCTTTTCATTATAAAACTATCATTAATTAGGTGAATGATTGAATGTTAATCAACAAAAACGCTACTATTGATATATAATTACATATTCTTTCAGTTGGATGAACTTCCTATATAAAAATAAAATAAAAAGCAAATGCTCCATCTGGTGACAAGATGGTGAAAAGGTTGCAGATTTGATCTTTAGGCAAAGTCGATTAGTAAAATTAATATATTAAATATTGCAAATGAATCTGTTTATACCTACAAGTGGATTCGGTTCTGATGTTTACATTTTTATTTATTTTTTTCATGTAAGTGTATAATACATTTGAAAGTACATACAGATTCAGATTCAGATTCAGTTATAATGTTTATTTTTTGTATTTTTTTTTTATTGATTTCGTATGGAGTGCATGGTCAAAGGCTTCCATTTTGTTTTTTAAGCTTCAGCTGTGGAGATTCGTTTCGACCAATTAAAAATATTTTACATTAAACTACAATTTCAGAAAATTTATAAATTCAATGGGGAAAACAATTGTTTTAAATAACGAGTGTAATTTTAATGATTAACATTTTTTTTTAAATTGAAAATTCATTAATAATAAATATAAGTTGACAATAAATTGAAAATTCATTAATAATAAATATAAGTTGAGAATGTCAAGGGCTAAGGCTTTATGGCCTGACGCCGGTGTGGTGCCTAGACTTCACTTATAATTTAGGCCAATCATGCATCTTCCGAAATCTTATCATATTATTTGATTATAAAGGCTTAGCTTGTCATGTACATAAATGTCTAGCACATGGAGTCTGAACTTAAGGCCTTTGGATATTTCGGATAGCGTAGAACTACCAATACCAAAATCTTCAAATAGAAAGACAAAAGAAAACTATTGTTCCTAATTTAATTTTTTCGAAAACTTATTATAATTTACATTTGCAGAAGAATTTAATGTACTAAACCAAACTTTAATAGAGTAAAATGCAGCAATATAAAGCTCCATTCATAAAAGAAATTTACCTAGAATTGAAGATTTGAAGTCTCCAACTATAAGCGACACTCCATTTTGTATTTTGATCCGTTGGAGAAATAAAAAATCTACATACTAACTCTTAAAGAATAAGGAACAACTCTATCAAATGAGAAAAATTAATAATTAAAACACACAAACCCACTAAAAGGATATCAAAAACACTCAAGATCTATCACTATACAAATGCAGGAGATTAAATTCAATTTTTGTTCCAAATTGATCACAGGTTTTGAAATTATTAAAAAACACTAAATAGAATTAAAAAAATAATGGAAAGGGATGAAAATGAACCACCGTCAATTAAAGAAGACAGTCGGTAGTGGTTCAAAAAATAAAATCTAAAAAAACACCAAAGAGAGAACAAAAGAGATGACTAGTTTCTATTAATGATTACCGTATGATTGAATGAGCTATTGCAATTCGCATTTCCCTTTAATTAGTAAGTGAAATTGGTTTTTGTATTTTTTGTAAATTGACTAAAAGTTGAATTTGAGTTTTTATTTCAATAAAAAAACTATTTTGGATTGTTTTTTATTGTATATTTAGCTCCAATTAAGTTTAAATTTCTAAATTCAAAGTTATATTTTCACATGACACATATTATATATTAAAATATTTATTTTCAAAAATAAATAAATCAAATAAAAGTAAGCAGTATCCTCTTTTTTTTTTCTTTTGCATGTTTAAAGCAACACTTCTATTGTAAGTACTCCCCATGTAATTAAGAACAAGTTTTTAATTGTAATATGAGTATTTTTAAGCGTTAACTAAAGAGAAAATGATAAAACTGTTATATTTTTTAAAAACCTTTATAAATTGACTTGATATATAAATAATTCTATATGATAACAAAAAATTATTTATATTCTTTGATTTTTGTTGATGAAAATTTCTTCAGACGAAGGGTCCCCCCATTGCACCTAGAGTTTGAATTCTTTATATAGGGGAAGCAGAAAAGGGATGATGGAGAGAATCTCTCCACTACTAATTGCCGTGATATCCTACTTTAGTCGAGGATTTTTAGGGATAATAATTAGTTTAAGATTTTTTAGATTATATAGTTAAAGATTTTTTAGATTATATATATATATATATATATATTATATATTGATTTTAAGATATTTAAATATGCTTTTAATTATAAGATAT